TGTGAGGGATCATTGTGGTAAGTTAGCCTCTAGCCATGACTGTGAGGGATCATTGTGGTAAGTTATCCTCTAGTCATGACTGTGAGGGATCATTGAGAAAAGTTAGCCTCTAGCCATGACTACTGTGAGGATCACTGAGACAAGTTAACCTCTAGTCATGACTGTGAGGGATCATTGAGAAAAGTTAGCCTCTAGTCATGACTCTGAGGGATCATTGAGACAAGTTAACCTCTAGCCATGACTGTGAGGGATCATTGTGGTAAGTTAGCCTCAAGTCATGACTGTGAGGGATCATTGAGAAAAGTTAGCCTCTAGCCATGACTGTGAGGATCATTGAGATGAATTAGCCTCTAGTCATGACTGTGAGGATCATTGAGACAAGTTAACCTCTAGCCATGACTGTGAGGCTCATTGAGATAAATTAGCCTCTGGAGGTGTCTCTAAAGGATTATCTATGGAAGGTTAATTGAGATGAGGAGATACACCTGAAAGTGGGATCCTAGATTACATAAAAATTAGAAAGCTAGCTAAAATGAACATGTCACTCTCTGCTTGCTACTGCAGATGCAGTGTGACCGGCAACTCCAAGCTCCCATCACAATGACTTCCTTTTGCTGTGATGGGGTGAACCCTAGAACCCAGAGAAAAACAAAAAATTTCTTCCTTCAGTTCTTTTCAGTTATTTTGTGCTAGGAACAAGAGAATTAGTGCATTATTATATAGTTATCTGTCCTCTATTTTTACTTTTATTCCATTTGTCAAACAACATGTTGTGTATGACTTCGATTTCTTTAAATTTATTGAGACTTGTTTTATAGCTCAGAATATAGCTCTGTCAGTAAACATTCCCTGCATGTAAGAATTCTCTTGTCATTAGGAAGAGTGTTGCATAAATATGAGACCAAGTGGGTTGTGTCAATTTTGTTAAAAAGATGAGTAGATGTCTTACAACAATTCAGGAACAATCAGAAGACTGCAATATAGCAGTTGTTCAATAGAGCACCTGCTAATTTAGGGAGGTCAAGAAAGCTAGGGCTTGTAAAGGTGAAGTGTAGGAAAGAGAAGTTGTTCTGAAACATCCTTGGCTACAAGAAGCAATGATAAAATGACATCAATCTATAGTTGAAAAGAAGCAAAAAAAAAAAAAAAAAAAAAAAGAATCACTCTGATCTGCCATTTTGCTGGGCGGTGGTGGCGCACGCCTTTAGTCCCAGCACTTGGGAGGCAGAGGCAGGCGGATCTCTGTGAGTTCGAGGCCAGCCTGGTCTCCAAAGTGAGTTCCAGGAAAGGCGCAAAGCTACACAGAGAAACCCTGTCTCGAAAAACCAAAAACAAAAAAAAGAAAAAGAAAAAGAAAAAAAAAAAAAGAAAAGAAGCTTAGCCAACAGATGTACTCACAGAAGTATCTTTTGTGTGTAAGGTCATGTGGGCCTTGTACACTTTTATGGCCTTTAAAGGAGTATAGAAATAATCTTGCCATAGGTATGTATACATGAAAGCTCTCCCTTCAAGATACTCCATTAAAGTTTAACTGTCTCCATTTTGATTCTCACAGCACTCACAGTTGATATGCCGTCCAGTTCAGCTGTGCTCTGTTACTTTTCTGGGTTTGTTCCATCAACTGAGATTGAAAAAATTTCAATGTGATGGTGGATTTGGCTGTCATTCCTTAATGCTCTAGCAAGTTTCCCCCCTTCATCTTTGAAGCTATGCCATTAGGAGTACATGACGAGGTTATTTCAGTATTTAGATACAGTTTCACTATACAGTCCCAACTGAGCTCCTCCTAGCTGGCCTCCATCTCACAGACGCCCACCTGTCTCTGCCTCCCCATTGCCTGGAATAAAAGCATGTGCTACCATACCAGCCAAGTTTATTTTCACTAGATGAATTGCCCTCTTTTTATTTTTAAAGATTTATTTATTCGTATATTTTATATATACACCAGAATAAGGAATCTGATCTCATTACAGATGGTTGTGAGCCACCATGTGGTTGCTGGGAAATGAACTCAGGACCTCTGGAAGAGCAATCAATGCTCTTAACTACTAAGCCATCTCTCCGGCCCGAATTGCCCTCTTTATTATCACTGGCAATGTTCTTTGTCCCCCATCCTCCTCAATTTTTAAAATTGACTTAAGTCTTCTTTTGACTATTGTGAGGATGGTCACTTTAATCTTTAACGTACTTTCTGTAAACACATGGCTGGGTTGGACTTGTTTTCAAATCTAATCTAATCTAATTCACTTGATACAACTAGTGGTCTTATTAGGGACCTCGTTGTCTTGAAATTTGTTTCCTATCACGTTCTGGAATGACCAAAAATTCTGTGTAAATGTAAACAACAAAAGTGACCTTGAAAGTTCTGTTGTGCCCAGATCGTGACCCGCAGAGAGACCACCAAAGACGAGCATGCCGGAATGCAAAAGCAAGGTTTAATTCTGCATATACAAGCCTAGGCAGGGACTTTGTCCAATACATCCAACGCAGTGGAGGCTGGAGGAAGTGCCCACCTATCTGCAAGCTCAGCTTTTAAAGGGAAAAATCTCAAGGTTACATCATTTAGGGGTGCTAGTACGGGTACAATTCTGATTGGCTTGCTTCTAGTGACTTTTAGAAATTACTTCTAAGGGAGTGGTTGCCCGCCACCATTTCTCATTGGCTGCCCTCAGATGGAGGCATTTCTGTGGTCAGTTACCTTGGAAACCAGGGAGAGGACACTCCATAGTCTGGCAGGCATTACCTTGTGACTATCTTGTGACTCTGTACTTTTACACTTCCTGGTTTCTGGAATCTGAACTGTGGTTTCAGTAACTAATGGCCTGTTCCTAAAAGGAGAAATCTTAGGCCTTAGTTTTTGGGTGGAAGCATTTTGGTCTTATTTCTAAGATGGCTCATTTTGGTCTCACAGTTCAACAGTGTCGAGTTACCACAAAGGTAGATTTTTCCTACAAACACGAAGCGTTCTTTTGTATTTGTTTAGGATACCTTCACATGTTAATCATTCATCCTTCAACACAGACACAGTTCTGTTGTCACATACCGATGTGGCCCTCAGTAACACTTTCCTATCTAGGTAACAGGGACAGTGAACCAACCCTGGACGGGTCCAGAACTTCTGACTCTCGGAAATCTCTGATGTAACCTGCCTGTCCAATCAATACTTTAGTCCAGTCCTTTGAAATGTATCATAGTCCCTACCATCGTACAGAGAGGTGGAATCCTTCTGCAGTGGGTCTCAGGGAAAGCGTAATCAAGCAGTAACGTCTCAACCTGATTTTATTCCAATTCTGCACTCTCAATTTAGGCTCCTCTGTACACCCCATAAGAGAGTAAGTGACCATGGAACCCGGAAGTACTTTTTTTAAAAGATTTATTTATTATGTATACAGTGTTCTGCCTGCGCGACAGAGCTCATTACAGATGGCTGTGAGCCACCACGTGGTCGCTGGGAATTGAACTCAGGACCTCTGGAAGAACAGCCAGTGCTCTTCACCACTGAGCCACCTCTCCAGCCCCCGGAAGTGACTTTTGATCGCACCGGGAGCCTCCCCTTTAAGCGCGCACCCCGGTGGGAACTCCCACAAGCCACTGGGCGGAGTCCCAGATGGGCTGCCCAAGTGCATGCTGGGATTTCCCTGAACCTTGGAGCGCTGGGCTTCCGGGAGTTCTGGACACCGGGACTACATTTCCCAGGAGCCACCGCGCCGAACATACCCCATCAACTTCCGGTGTCCTCGCTGAGCTACGGTGGACAGTCAGAACTTTCTGGTAGGAGGAAGAAGTCTCTGGTTAGCGTAATTCTCCACTGAGTAAGGCGGGAGCCAGCGGGCTGGGTGTGGGTGTGGACGGTGATGTGGGGTGAGCGGATGGTGAAGTGTGTGAGTGTGTGGGGACGGTGGTGCGGCTGCGAGTGTGAGTGTGTGTCCGTGTGTGTGTGTGTGCGTGTGTACACGTGTGTGTCCGTGCGTGTGTGTACACGTGTGTGTGTGTGTGCGCGCGTGTGTGTGGACACCTCGAGCTCTCTGCATTGTCTGGGTCCCTGCCAGTCGCTCTCTGCTCCTGCTTTCTCTCAGGGCCACAGGGCTGAAGAAGAGGACCAGGCTTCAGTGACGAGAGGTCAGGGACGGAGTCTGAGGGAAGCTTCCCCTGAGGTCCGGACTGGAGCTTGGGGCGAGCGTTTGAGGCCGGAAGCGCCTCCGAGGGTCGCCTAGGCGGGCAGCTGCTTGTGGAGTCCATAACTTTCTCAGAGCTCTGGCCATCGGGAGTGTGGTGGGAAGTGAGGAGAGCGCTCGCTCGGATGCACAGCCTGGGATCTCCTGCTTGCCCGGGCTCCCCGAGTCCGCGTTACTCAGATGAGGGCCTGGAGAAGAATGCGAACGTTATTGCTGCACTTCTAGGATTCGAGAGTGAGTTTGCTCTTTCTTCCTGTTTGAGGAACGAGGTTGTAGTTTCAGAATATAGAACTGTCAGTAAGTGAAGGAGGAAGATGTAAATTGATAGCTCCGCCACTGTGGCCCTTAACTTACATTGTCCCCTCCCTTTCCACTTAATATTCACATAATCGGTTCAGAGATCCTTGACGTCTTCTCTCTACAATCACTCCATTTGCCCAAGATAGATAGGAACCTCCAGAGGTTAGCGTTAGCGCTTTCAAACCCCGATTTGGTAAATCGATAACCATTTCGATGACATCGCATATCAGGTGGCCTTTGAACTTTAAAGGCCTTCCTTTCCAAGCAGGGGAAGAATGGAGGTGGTAGGTGATTTTTGTTCACTCCTGAGGATTTCAGGAGTGGGAAAGTGATGGCACAAAATTTGGCATCTTTGAGAACTAGTAATTTTCAGGGTATTTGTGTGTGGAAACGGGTAATATTGGCCAGATCCAGACGTGCAGTGCTGTGGTTGAATGTGGAGATGTGGATCTGTGTGTCCGGGTTGGAGTCTAAGTTCTTTCTTTTTCCAGATCTCTAGCCTTGTCATGTACTTCAGAATGACCGTAGTAAAGCCTGTTAGTGCAGTGCCAGCCATACAGTAAGGGCCTGATGTGTTCTTGTTGTTGCTTTGTGTGGTCATTTTCGGTTCATTCTCTTCAGTTTTCTGTAGTACGAAGGAGTGTTAAAAAAAATGTGATTACTCGCTGTATTTTTATGAAAATGAATCAAAAGAAAAAAGCTAGACTTTATGGTTTTTACTTTAAATCTCAGCACTGGAGAGGCAGAAGCAGGAGAATGTTTGTGAATTCATGGTCACCTTAGTCCGCATATCGAGTTCCAGGCTAGCTGGGGAACACAGTGAGACCCTGTCTCAAAAGTAAGAAGTAAAAGAAAGTGAATGTAGTAGAGCAGAATTTGTTTAAATATTGAGATGAAATTTTTTTGTTTTGTTTTGTTTTTCAAGATAGAGTTTCTCTTTGTAATAGTCCTGACTGTCCTGGAACTCGATTTGTAGACCATGCTGTCCCGGAACTCACAGAGATCTGCCTATGTCTGTCTCCTGAGTGCCAGGTTTAAAGGCGTGCAACCCCCCTCACCCCCACCCCTCCCCCACACAACTTGTTGTTCGAATCTTAAATGGTCTTTTAATTAAAAAACCTACAGCGTGAAATCTGAAAGATCAGAGAAGCAGAGCAAGCCACAGCCAACCTCACCTTGCCAACTCCTCATCCAATGGATCCTGTTTCCTCAGACTGAAAGCCTTTGAGTCCTCACCTGAAAGGGTCTCAGCTGAATTGCTTTAGTTCCTGTTTCCTCACGCCTTATATACCTTTCTCCACCCTGTTGTCACTTCCGGGGATTAAAGGCATGTGCCACCACTGCCTGGCTGTGTTCCCAGTGTGGCCTTGAACCCAGACAGATCTCTGCCTCCTGAGGGATAAGATTAAGGGTGTGTGCCACCACTGTCTGGTCTCTGTGTCTAATCTAGTGTCTGACTCTGTCCTCTGATCCTTAGGCAAGTTTTATTAGTGTGCACAGTATATATCACCACACCAGTTGGATGACGTTTCTTGTATTTTTTAAAGTATGTGGAGTTCTTTATGTCCTTTGGGATGTCTCAATCTACCTGTCACATGTTTTAGTGAGCACACTTAATGTCTACTCTCTGAGTCTTTCAGAACCATTAATCATAGTCACTGTGTTGCATGATGTATCTGGAGCTTGTGTTGTGGAGCTGAACTTGTGTAGTTCTTGATCAGCATCTTCCCAACTCCCTTATGGATCTACATCTCCCATTCTCAACCATGATGCTGCACATCCCGCCTCAGCCACTCACACTCCATTACCTCAGCCACTCACACCCCATTATCTCAGCCACTCAACCTCCATTACCTCAGCCACTCACACCTCATTACCTCAGCCACTCACACCTCCCTTACCTCAGCTAGTACTCACACCTCCATTACCTCAGCCACTCACACCTCCATTACCTCAGCCACTCACACCTCCATTACCTCAGCC